GCTTTTAGGTACGTAGGTACTAATCGTTTACTTTTCACAAATTGTTGTTAGAACTTAATTATTTATTAGTATTACAGATATATTTTTATCACAATTCAATATTTTTTACTTACCAATTTGTTGACACCAAAACATGTATTACGGGCATTTAACTTAAAAAAAAAACTTTATTTTTATCGTTACTGCTTTTTATGCTATCACTACTGCTTGATTCAATATTGCACCGAGCACTGGGCTTTGAACCCAGAACCTCGTGGTTGTAAAACTAAAGGTTCTAAAGCTGTGTCGAATTATTTATTTATGAAAGAAATTTTAACTTTATAATATTTCACTCACTCTATTTCACTAATTGTAATAGTATTAATATTTAATTTAAAATCATATAATCAAAATATAGCTTTTAGAATCTAAATAAATTGATATCATAAAAATAATATTTTTTAAACAGAATATTTTGTTTTTGGTTTCTTTTATTTGTCATTAATATGAAAGAGCCATGTTTAAAATAATTTAAAAAAATAAAAATATGTCTATACAAAATAGAAACCAATTATCGTGATTAGTAAGCAAATTGTTAATTAAAAATTTTACCATTATTTTTTGTTTTTATGTATATAAAATAATTAAAATTAGTTTTGGGTCTTGTCGAAAAACTCCTATCATAATTCCATTAATACCTAGATGCAATTATTTTATTAAAAATAGCATTATCTAACTTCACTAATACTAATGGAATTCGACTTGCACATTTTTCTGTTGTGACAGTTTTGTAATCTAAAATTGAATTTCTATATGCAGTTCATCCTATATTCATATCATCCTAGGCAATATCAATATATAGAATAAAGTAATATTGAATGATATTACAATACGGTCCGTTGCCTTCCTCCCCTATAGTCTTTTTAGGGTGAAATTTTGGTTACTATAACACGTGTCTACCGAGTGCGAAATTTTTTGATTATATAAAGTAGATTGCATTAGATAAATATGTTTGAAGATACATATTTATTTTGTATCAGGATAAACTAACATGAGGTATAGTTAATAGTTTGAAGCCGACGGTCTGGACAACCTGATACAAGGCAATAGCGATATCAATTTTCACTTAAAAATATAAATAATAAATATGCTTCCAATTGAAACTCACACTACAAAATAGCAAAGGAAAATATATTACACAATTTTTTTCTAATTTGAGTTGAAGTTTAATTCAACGGACGGAACTTTCCTACAGGCAAATCACCCGTCTATTTATTATTTACAGATAACAAATAATAATATAATTATATTTTATGCTTATACAAATTGCTAAATGATAGATTAACTCAAATCGTTACCTTCGATCTAAGTTTGATTTTTTAACTTCCCGTAGGGCAAGTTATAGTAATCGCAAAAAAATCGAAAATGAAAATGTTTATATATCTTTACGTTTCAGAGGTTTCTGAACATTTTGGCATACCTTAGAAAAAATGGATGTATGTGTGTGTGTGTGTGTGTGTGTGTGTATGTATGTATGTATGTATGTATGTATGTATGTATGTATGTATGTGCGTGTGTGTATGTATGTGCGGATACAAATTTTCGTCGACGATTTCGGGAACACGGATCAACCGATTTGAATAATTCAAAAAACATTCGATTCGTATTAATAAGGAGACGTGCTGATTAGTTTTTGGCGAAAGCAGGTCTAGCCGTTCCAAAGATACGGGGCAAAAAGTGCCGAAAACGGTAACTCAGTTTTTAAGAGAACGGAGCGTCCGATTTGAATATTTTAAAAAACATTTTACTTGTATTGACAAGATAAAGAATTGATCAAATTTTCATGAAGGCAGGTCTAACGGTTTCGGAGATCTGATGAAAAAAGTAAAAAAAAATGCCATTTGGCGGTCAAAAATGATCATTAGACATATGCACATCAAATTATCAAATATTTTATAGAGATTTTAACAATAAGTATAAATTTTTTTTACATTTCTATGGGTTCCGTACCAATGTTTACGCGTTAGACGGCGACGCGGCGCTTACGGGCTTTGATATTTCGTCTTTATGCAGTTAAAGCAGTACGATTGCTCTGAAAAAAAGTTTAGATCTTCCAAAATATGTCAAAATAAAATAAAACATTTTTTTTTTTAAAAAAAAAATAAAAAAAATTTTTTTTTTTCAAAAAAAAGTAATTTTTTGTCCAATATATAGTTTCTCAAAAATCTTATTTTTTCAAAGTAAATTTTTTTCAAAAATCTTAATCGTTTTTAAAAAAAAAATTTTGGTACGGGAAGTTCCAGCAATTTGCCTTAAGGCACGATGCCTTAATTGCCTTAAGACAGAATTCCACTTACAGCTAGTTTTTCTTTCCTTTGCCGCCACTTTATTTCCTTAAAAAATAGTTTCACCATCAACTTAGGGTTCGAATCACATTCCTAGAACAAAGTCGAGATGAAAAGTGTTCAAGATTGAGACATTCACGAAGGGAAAATTGGAAAAGAAGGCATGCGTCGACAGAAAATATGATATATGGATTAGAATTGCCTGTTATGTGGTAATAAATCGCGCACTAAAGATACTTGATATTGAAAATATCATGCGTGAAAATAACTATGTCAGCGGTGGCATATTGCGTTCATGTTCGACACGCAGATTTTTTATGGCAACTGTGGAGGGACGTGATACAGTTAAGTTCGAAAAAATACTGCCTTAGGATTTTATCTATGTCTTATTTATGTACCATATGGTCTTCACCTAAAATTTGTACACGCCACTAATGCTGATGTAATTTTTTAACGCGCAAAGATAAACTAACAAAATCACAAATCTACTTAGCAAAATTTCAGAAAATTAGTATCTATTTTTGAGGGAGATTGCAGTCAGAGTATTTTTTGCATTGCAAAATTTTTTTCTATATTTTTGATTCTTATGTGTATATTTTGTAATTTAGTATAATTATCTTTGTATCATCAAATATCTTTAAGTTACAAGTTGTAAAAAAAATTATATTTGATATTATTGACTAAAATTATCAAGACAGTTTTTATTTGAAAAGTAAACGTTTATAAAACTGTCTATAAACTTGAAACAATTTTGAATGGGGTTTACGAAATAAAAATGAGGGTCTATGGAAGTGAATCAAAATACACCACCTTAATATATATTTACTATATCTATAATAAAATGTCATATACAAAATTTATAAATAGAACTATAAAGTAAATATTGTTATCTATAATATAAAAATGAATCGCAAAATGTGTTAGTAACCGCATAACTCAACAACGCCTGGACCAATTTGGCCAGTTCTTTTTTTTAAATATTCGTGAAGTTCAAGAATGGTTCTCACGGCCAGAAAAGATCGAATAATTGCCGGAAAAACCCTAAAAACAGCCTTTTTTACATAGAAACGTTTTCTAACTTAGACGTAGAATCAATTTGATCTCAAATTTTTCATAATGCGTAAATAAATAAGGTGAATTAAAGAATTTATAAAGGTAAACTGGTGGACAGGTAAATTGAAGGATATGTAAAATGGTAGAAAAGAGAACTGGTAGACAGACGAATATGTAGACAAATAAAAAGGTTGACAGGTTAATTGGTAGACATGTCGAACGAGATGACAGGTAAATTTGTAGGCCGGTAAAATGGTGGATTGATGAACAGGTTGATAGGTAAATAGGTTGACAGGTAAATTGGTAAGCCGGTAAAATGGTAGATTGATCAACAAGTTAATAGGTAAATTCATAGACAAATTGTTGAAGAGGTAAATTGTTGAACACATGGTTGTAACGTTAAACTAAATGTAACAATTACGAATCTTTGTTCAATTTTTTTTTTATTTAAACTAAATCACGGCAAAAAGTGACCAGGTACACCTAGTTTCTCATAAAAATGTGTAAGTTGTAGTTTAAGTAGACATTCAATTTGTTGTCGCTATATGATTGAGCTTATTTTCTCACTATTGAAAGACTTGGCTATATTATTTAGCTTTTTGAGACTGTTGGTTGTACAATAAGCACTAGAAAGTGGGTTTAGTAATGTTACTGAGTAATGTTAATAATTAAATTTTTCACTTACCCGAAAATGTATTTCGGGTAAGGGGGAGTCTATGCATAAACCTTATACACAAGTATTATAAGGTCTATAGGTCTGTGGCAAAACCCATGGGGTCAAGACACTAAAAACTTTGGGAATCTGTGCTTACCTACAAGAGAGCCCATACTATACATTTAATACTGGTCGTTGAATAAGAAAGCAGCAATACCTAAAGAATACAAATGATACAAGCGCGATTTGTTATTATTAAAAAACACAAATAGAGCCTAAAAAAATACCAAATTTTCTTTTTTTTCTTTCTTTCGCCTTTTACTATTTTATCAAAAAGCCAATCACTATCAGACTATGAGCTGGTTTGGAAAAAGTAACTTCAATTGAATACATTCGTTATTTTTTCAGCACTTTTATATAAAATTAGATAGTCATTTTTCCTCAGTCTTCTAATGGACACTGCTTTACTAAATTAGGGCATGTAATGATTTGGATGACCTGGCACCTTTTTATAGTGTCTATTGCTTTTTTATGCGTTTATAAATATCGTGATATACTTCTAAAACTAAAAAAAAAACATGAAATTAATATATGAGTAAATTCATAGTATATGGTTATGTATAATTACTGCTACTTGTGTCAGTTTGAAGTAGTTTTGTTCTTCTAAGAGCAAAATGCTACTTCTCTCTAATATTTATCTACCACAATCAATTGGTGGGTAGCTATAATAAAATTTTATTCAAATTACATCTGATTCCAGACTATCATCCCTAATTTTGATGTACTCGTATTTCGAAAGCCAAAAGCGATCAGTTCGCCTCCCAAGAAAATACTCACGCAGCATCATTGGGTCTTTGAAGATTATTTCGAAGTACGTGCTCAGCCTAAACTAGAAAAGCGGTCGGTGAATATGCTAAAATTGCTACGACGATTCTGCAACTACGGCAATAGAAGTTTAAGGTGTCGTAACAATTACACGTCTGGACTATTTAAATAAATCTCAAGTTCTCGAGGGCTAGACGCGTGCCTTAGATCTATGTTAAAGGTTTCTAGGAACGAGTATTTGCTACAATATCAGGGATGAAGTTAATGGAAGTAAGTTTATTAACTTTCCAATGGTGAAGTTTATTAGATTATTTGATTGGTTAATTTTAAGTTTCCTTACGTTCTAAGTTATTCCGAATTCAGGTAAACACATATCTCACCCATAATTTGGTCAATTAATTCGTAACCGGGAGCTTCAGCTATGAAATGTAATGTTGTTTTTATTAAATAAGATATAAATATAATATTCTAAATTTAGTTTAATTCAATCGTTATACTCGGTTTTATTCGAAATGATCAAAATTGTATTTGCTATAATTAAGTAGCAATTAAGTTATTGATCAATCGTCAAAGTGGAAAGTTCTATTGATTGAATTATTTAATTTTTATCAGAAGATTAACAGACAGGTGATGTAGAGATCTAATCGCATATAGGTATCTATATCAATGCACAAGCATTGAGATCTACATTTTTGAAAAAAACAATTACCATTGTCTTCTGTACTTACATTCCATACTACTGAAACTGAAATGGATGTGATCTAGGATCTATTGTACCACCAGTATATAAATATATTTTCAATGAGAAATGCTGCTGGTATAAACTAATTTATTGAAAGAAAATTTATATAAACAAATTTATCAGTGGGCTGTGAGCTTCTCCGTGTTCTAGTGGTTCGGCTTTGAATTAGAAGCTCCAGGTTTGATAGTTTCGTCGGGCAGCATGATATCAATTAGTAGTGATATCGGTTTACACTAAAAAATATAACCCTTACTTGGCATTGCTGCATCAATACAAATTTGATCAGATTTATAGAAATTGTAATTAAAACATATTCAAACAGAGATAGTTAGATTATTAGTTTGTCTTTTGAAAAAGTGAAATAATTAAGGTAATTCCTTACAATAGCTTATTGGACACTTTTGGCATTTTGCTAAGTTTTTTAATTACAAGTTCATGTCTAATATCAAATAATTTGACTCAACTTATTTTCTTTCAATTGCAGAAAGTTAGACTAAAAATCTGCTGATCTTATTAACTACTTCTTGCACTAAACGTTGTGTACAATCTTACATCAATTATGGATATTATTAATATTAAAATAAATATCAATTACTTATTGATTTTTGAATATACTGCGTAACTTTCAACACTTCGGAATTTGAGGAAATAAAAATATTCTATATTAGATAGTTCTATTTCGATATCTAAATATACATTTGTAAGCAAGTTTTTCAATTCATGACTCTAGATTTTTATTATTTCCTCTAGAAAAAGCATTATTTTCCGGGATATGACATTTATTATTTTTGTATCTGCCAGTTGTTTTATTTTTGTTCAAAGCTAGCAAATGTATGTATATAATAAATTAATATTTATAATCCATTAAATTCTGTTTGTAGCACGAATACATCCAAAAATTAAAAAAATATTGCATAATAATGGCTGATATTTAAAATTGGATAGAGCGCGGCACAAATGTCCAATACGACATTCAGTTATTATACTGTCTAAATTCTAATGCTAATTAACTACATGAACGAATATTACGCATCAGACAGGTATCGAACTATGATCAGTAAAATTTACAGTGAATTTTTAATTATGGATATGCTTTTTTACTAATTTTCTAAAAATTGTCATCTGTCCCCATAGACATGGTAAAGTAGGATACCTTAGAGACAAACAATATTCTTCTAGACAATCCAATGTTTTTAATTTTAAAAAGACAAAATAATAGCTTCATTATTCAAACAATCCGGAATACAAATTTTATAGGCACATTTTTTACAAAGATCACACTGTATATAACCTTGATCTGGTATTTCGTGAGGAATATTCATTCTTATTATTCGCTTTTTTTAGGTGTTCTAGGTTTAGTTGATTCTTTTTACTTTACACATTATATAAAAAATGTTGAATCTATCTCATTACAAAACATCATTGTTAGAAATTATATTCAAGTATTATAAACTAGATTGAAGAGCTCAAAATTAAAAAAAACTACAAAACAAAAATATTATTTTTGTTATGGAAACTGATAGTAGATGGTCATTTATCTCCTAGGAGATCAGCTATCAGATAGTGACCGCATAAGAATTAAGGTAACACATGACCATCTACTTTAAAACTACATCGTTAAAAAACACTATGCTTTATTTACTTTTGAAATAGTGGTGATGAACATTTTTATCCGCGGATCTTCAAACTTCTTTCTACCATACTCAGTAATTAGAGCTTAAGAATCAGCATCAGAGCTTTGATATTTAGTATATAGGCGCAACTGCAATTTAATTCAATTCCCTCTACTATTATCGTTCAGACGCATCTAGTTGCAAGATAATTACTTCTAATATTTGATACAAAATTGCTTTCTGAATGAAATGTATAAGAATCGATATTTCATCAAGTTTTGCAAAAAAGATGAATGCGAGTACGTAAAAGCGTCTGCTCATTCATGCATCTTTGATCAGACGACGTCGCTCACGGGCGATAGTATTTTTTATTATTAGTCGACAATCGGAATTTCAGAATTTAATATTAGGCCTTGCCTATTGCGAACCGTTCTACTGTGATTCGCGATACTCGTAAATCTTATTTTTTATGTTCGAACACGGCTGATAAATGTGTCACACCGAATAACTTTGTAAAGGAATGTATCGCGCATGTGAATCCAGAGATTTTAGAAAGAACAGTTAGGAAGGACTACACAAGAAGTATTTCAAGTTTGCACCAATAATTAGTTAAAAAAGTTATGCATATAAATGCATTATTAAGTGTCTCTATGTGCAAATAAAACTGCAAAAAATAATTAGGTCTATGTTGCATTTTGGGTGGTCCTATGTATATCACCGGAATTTCCTTCCGTGCAGTTGAGTAACAAACAAATGCAGTTGACTACGAAGTTATAAGAAATCCAATTGAATTTTTGTTTATCTATAATATAAAAATAAATCGCAGAATGTGTTAGTAAGCGCATAACTCAACAACGCCTGGACCAATTTGGCCAATCCTTTTTTCAAAATGTCCGTTGAAGTCCAAGGATGGTTTTTACGGCGAGAAATCGAATAATTTCCGGGTAAACCTGATAAACAACCCTTTTCTTTTTTAGTTCGTATTTTCGTATTTTTGCCATCGGATACCAAATATTTACTCAAGTTTTTTTTTTTTTTATTATTATTATTTGAACAGCAATCAGAACTAATGGGTTCTATGAGCTGTTGTGAGTAAGATCTTACAAACTACGTTTGTTTTATTACAGATGGCAACCCAAACAGTTGTCACATCTCTGTATGATAAATTTTTATTACAATCTCTCTAATAGGGCAAGTAAGGTGCAACAATGCCGGGTGAGGGCTATTTTCACTTGGAAACATATTGCTATCTATATTTCCAAACAAAAATCGTTGTCAATGTTGCCTGACAACAGGCTGCTCGAAGTGGGTATCGAACCCGGGACCTCTGAAACAAGTCCCGTCGCTCTTAACCGCTTACCTACGGGCGAGCCCCATTTACTCAAGTCAATGGAGTGTTTTGAGTCTGAATTATTTTACTGTGCTCCAATTCGTATGAAATTTTGAAATTAGGTTTATCTTACTCTCAAGTTCAAAAGTGAAAATAATTTAGACTTTTTTGCCTTTTCCCGGAGGATGATATCTCCCTCAGTGGTGTAATTTCATTTTTTTTAAATTATATTGGTTATCGATAAAAAAAAACTAATTATAAGAAAAAAATGTTTTTCAAAAAAGCAAATACTTATCATTTTATTTAAAGCAGTTGTACATCCATATGGGTGGATCTTAAATGTAAACCATAATAATTTTTAAATAGCAGTATAGGTTATAAAAAAAATTAGAACTTTTGAATTTTAAACATAAGTACAGAACAACGTCTGTCGGGTCATCTAGTTAAATATAAAGCAAATTGATATATTTCATGTAAACCTTAAAATTAATTTTTTTTTAATTGTTGATGACAAAGATACAGCTTAACCAATCACTCACCGACAAAAGGCAAAAATAAAATTTATATGCAGAGATAAAAGCAAAATCGCACTAATATCATACTTTTCTTATAAGAATCAGATTTAATATGTAAAATATAAATTACTCTTTCCGGTTTAACATGAAGTAATATATTATAAAGCATTACATCTATAATAAAGTATGGTTATGTAAAATAAAAATATTATTAGTAAATATTGATCTATTTGAATTAACGAGTTTTTTGCTGTTTTATGACAATAATTTTCGAATAATCCGATATGAATCAATTCAGCCCTAATATTTTTTTTTTTTTTTTAAATTCTTTAACAGCGATCAGAACTTATAAGTTCTATGAGCTGTTGTGATCAATTATCTTACAATTATTATAGATGGCAACCCAAACAGTTGTCCCATCTCTATGTGCTGAATTATTACAATTGTTGTAATAGTGATGACTTTTTACTTCCAAGTGGCATGTTGCCACTACAGCTATGCCCACGAAAGGCCATTTTCACTTGAAATCATATTTGAAATCTATGATTTCAAGTGAAAATTCGGTATCAAGCTGCTTTGATACCGAACCGACCGCCCTAATATTTGACGAGTTTACTTTCACACAGGAAAAGATAATATCATAATTGAAAATTGGATTCCAAAAATATGACTAAATCGGGTTTTATTTTTTTAAGATATATTTCAGTTGGTAAATAGTCAAAATTTTTAAACTCATCCGTATGATATCTGAAAAAAATTACTTTTGATGACTTGATGATTTTCTTATATGGTTTGATACTATTTAGAACAGTCCGGTTCCAAAAAACGGGATTTTGTATAGATCCATTATTTATGTGCAAAATAATTAAATTCTTTCAATATTTTGATTTAAACTTCAATATTTATATTTTTTCCTATTTAAAGATGTTTTTCTGAATATAATTTTTTTTTAATTTAATTTTTACACAGTTTTTTGTAACAAATATTTTATTTAATAATGAAATAATATGAAGAGCGAGAGATTTTCTTTTCAGAAAGCGAATTTGTTCAAGATCTTTTACCATATTTAT